TTATAGCAAAGAACGTTCGAATAAAGATTTAAAATAAAAAATGTAGCAATAGAACTTTGCAAGAACATCAGTTGATTTAATTTTAGCAAAGGACGTTCGAATAAAGATTTAAAATAAAAAATGTAGGAATATAACTTTGCAGGAACATCAGCTGACTTAATTATAGCAAAGAACGTTCGTAAAAAGATTTAAAATAAAAAATGTAGCAATAGAACTTTGCAGGAACATCAGTTGACTTAGTTATAGCAAAGAACGTTCGTAAAAAGATTTAAAATAAAAAAAATGTAGCAGTAGAACTTTGCAGGAACGTCAGCTGATTTATTTATAGCAAAGAACGTTCGAATAAAGATTTAAAATAAAAAATGTGGCAATAGAACTTTGCAGGGACACAGTTGACTTAGTTATAGCAAAGAACGTTCGAATAAAGATTTAAAATAAGAAAATGTAGCAATAGAACTTTGCAGGAACATCAGTTGACTTAGTAATAGCAAAGAACGTTCGAATAAAGATTTAAGATAAAAAATGTATAGCAATAGAACTTTTCAGGAACATCAGTTGACTTAATTATAGCAGAGAACGTTCGTATAAAGATTTAAAATAAAAAAATGTAGCAATAGAACTTTTCAGGAACATCAGTTGACTTAGTTATAGCAAAGAACGTTCGAATAAAGATTTAAGATAAAAAATGTAGCAATAGAACTTTGCAGGAACATCAGTTGACTTAATTATAGCAGAGAACGTTCGAATAAAGATTTAAAATAAAAAAAATGTAGCAATAGAACTTTGCAAGAACATCAGCTGACTTAGTTATAGCAAAGGACGTTCGTATAAAGATTTAAAATAAAAAATGTAGCAATAAAACTTTGCAAGAACATCAGCTGACTTAGTTATAGCAAAGAACGTTCGAATAAAGATTTAAAATAAAAAAAAATGTAGCATTAGAACTTTGCAGGAACATCAGCTGACTTAGTTATAGCAAAGGACGTTCGAATAAAGATTTAAAATAAAAAAATGTAGCAATAGAACTTTTCAAGAACATCAGCTGACTTAGTTATAGCAAAGAACGTTCGAATAAAGATTTAAAATAAAAAAAATGTAGCAATAGAACTTTGCAAGAAATGAACGTCAGCTGATTTATTTATAGCAAAGAACGTTCGTATAAAGATTTAAAATAAAAAATGTAGCAATAGAACTTTGCAAGAAAATCAGCTGACTTAATTATAGCAAAGAACGTTCGAATAAAGATTTAAAAGGTTGATCCCAGCATATCTTAAAGAGACTGTACGCGTAATTTTAAGTGACCCTCCATGCAAAGATGACAATGCCCGAATCACACCTTAACAATGATTTAGATATCCATATTTTTGTTTCTTTAAACAGTTATTTTCTTTTGCAGATTTCTGCAAAAGTGAAATTTAAATTCTTTCTCTTAAGAGTCAATGGAGACATGTTCAGAATTAAACACTTATCGAGTCAGGAAAACGACGATATCTTCCACATTTTTAATCAAATTAATTAAATGAATTACGCTTAAACTTTAGACTCAATTTAGGGGAACAGCATGAATATTTACATGGGCAGTCCAGGAAAATTTGAAATATCCAGGAAAATTTCGAATATCCAGGAAAATTTGAAATATCCAGGAAAATTTCAAATATCCAGGAAAATTTCGAATATCCAGGAAAATTTGAAATATCCAGGAAAATTTCAAATATCCAGGAAAATTTTGAATATCCAGGAAAATTTGAAATATCCAGGAAAATTTCAAATATCCTGGAAAATTTGAAATATCCAGGAAAATTTAGAATATCCAGGAAAATTTCAAATATCCAGGAAACGAGATAAGTTTTAAATAGAGTATCTGCAATTTGCATATCAAATTCAAATATGAGCATTGAAGGATTTAAAGGGAATGAACTCAACAAATAGTTTAGAGGCATAAACAAAACTTGAAAATTACCTGTAAAGTAGCAGTTGCAGATAATTGTGTATCATCTACAAGAGCTGCAACAATCCTAAAAAAATATTGTTAAAAATTATTCATGTTTTTTTTACAAATTGCGTTTAGGGCTACACAACACTAAAAACACCAGTACCTGCTACACAACACTAAAAACACCAGTACCTGCTACACAACACTAAAAAGGACGATTTATATAAGTTTAGGAAGAAAGTAAAGAAAATACTCCAAATAATTTAATCATTCACACTCATTCGCCTTTTCACTCATTCACGTCTCACTCACTCACTCACTTACTCAGTCACTGACTCACTAACCTGAGGTAATGTACGTCCATGAACTCTCTGTCCAGCTTGTTGTTTGTACTAATCTGTCCTGTACTGGGGTCTATACTGAACATATCCTGAGACCTGAACAAAATATCTAATTACCAAAAGGTATAGAAAACTATGGAGAGAGATTGTTTTTTCACTTTTTTTTCNAAAATTATGAATCCTACCGTCAGAGTAACATCTTGATTTATCTACGCCAGTTCGTTGTATTCCACAGGTTCGTCCGATCTCTTTCGGCCATATTAAATCGTCTTTATATTCTCGCTGACACCAGTTCGTCCGATCGTCGGAGCACACCAGTCCGTAGTAGTTTACACCTCGTCCTGAATTGACGAGAGGACAGGACGAGTTGGTGATTTGGACAGGATATGTTAGATAAACTAGTCCTGCGCAGGACGGGTTCAGACTCCAGGCATTGATAAAGGTTGTCTCCGGGTATCCGGCACAGCTTGAGGTTGGTTCTAGGAACAGTTCTCCGTTCTTCTCAATCCTGTGCTCTAGGCTGGACTCGGAGAGACGAGGGTTGAGTTCGTAACTCCAGGATCCAGGATCCAGTCCGATCCATACTCGTCTTGAGAAACTGAAAACAAAACGTTTAATTGTTTTTATAAACAAACCTTTAAATAAATTTTTGTTCAAAGTTAAAAAATGAATATTTTTCAAACATGAAAAGGGCTGAAGGCGTAATTTCCAAGCAAAGATGACAATGTCTGATTCACAACGATACCCTTGAAAAAGTTGCCCAATCTAATATGAATTAAATATCAATGTTTTAATCTTTAAAATTGATTATTTTCTTTCTTGGTTTCACTACAAAAGTGAATTGCGCATTTCTGTTGCTGGAAACCATAAAAGACTTATCAGAATTAAACACTTAAAAACGACAATATATTCACCACTTTATGGGTCAGATAAAAGGGACAATTGTGAATCGGGCATTCTTTGCATGTAGTGTCACTCGAAGTTCGCGTACCATCATATTATTGAAAGAGGATTACAGAAAGTTCTAGAGAAAAGGAATTGAGTCTTCGTGACAAACTTTTATTTTCTATTCTCTATATATTTTTGCAACCTGATGGTGGAAACCTTTGTATTTCAAACTTAAGACTATTTGAATTATCCAAGGTTTACGACATCGGGTTGCAAAGATATAGAAATTAAAAAATCAGAGTTTGTGGTAGAAACTTTAATCAGACTTTAAAGTTTAAATTCAAAGAACAATGTTGGAAACTCTGAATCCAGATTTCAAAGAAATCTTGATTCAGAGTTCTGAATTCCAACAACTCCTTTACAAGAGGATTTGTATCACATGGGATTTGTTTGTTAAAATAGGGCGAAAATTTTAAAAATATGAATAATAAAAAGCAAAGACATTTCAGTCTTAGCCTTATTGTATACTTTTAAAAAAGATAGCTCTCAATGTTTTAATCAGAAATTTTAAAAATATTTAAAAAATATTTGCATTTTATAAAATTTTCAGGATTAAATTTCCCTTAATTTCTTCTTGATTGTAAAAACAATGCGACATTTTAAATTGAAAAACATTGTAAATGTTTTTATCAAAACTAGGATTTATACAAAACAAAGGTTTTTTAGCGAAGACACTGATTATTAGATTTTAAATCTAAACATCTTTGCAACCTGATTATTTAAAATTTTGGTATTTTAACCTTTGGCTACAATTAGAATTATATAGAGATGAGTTATATTAGTTTTTTATATATTTTAATATTGAAAACACATTGGTCTCCACAATAAATTACTTATTTTAAGTTAAGAAATGTGAATGCATTTTTAATAATTCAGTAATAAAAAATTGTGTGATTGTCATTAAATGTTTATGGGTCCAATTTAATACCTAATATTTTAATTCTACCAAAAATAAAATGTTTTGGAATTTTTTAGATCAAATATTATATGGTTTAACAAAAACCAAAATATATGTGAAATGATAACAGATCCTAGGATTACAGCTTTGTAGAAGAGGGAAATGGATTTTTCATGAATTTGGGGGGAAAAAGATTAACTGGGCATCTACATTCAAGATAAACTGGGCATCTACATTTTACACCTCAGGCAAGTTTTTTTTTCGTTTTTGATATTTTTTCCCCAAAACTCTATTCATTTCCCACCCCACCCCCCCAAAAAATCTATCATTTTCTCCTATTCAGAAAAGAAACCTCAAAAAACAAAATTTTTTTAAACATTCCTAAAGTTTGGAGGAAAAATGATTTTCAAAAAAGGGGGAATGATTTTTTAAGGAAATATACACCCCTCTAAGATTACGCAATTATATGTGTACCAGACACCTGTATAATCTTCAAATAAAAAAGTTGTGAATGAAAGAACCTTAAAAGTGTTTGTCATGGCCTAAACCCCCCCTTAGATTGCCCCACATGTTTTTCCAAGGAACCCATTTATACTCTGGAGTAAAAAGATGGAAAAACCCTACAGCAAAAACCTTTACCAACCAACAACCTATACACCGCCCATGCATAGGCTTTTCCGAAACCTTAAAATCAATTTCGATAAAAAGATGTAATCAAAGCAAGTAAATTTTTTATCACAAACAAATGTTTTTTTTTGTACGAAAAAAATTGATTCAAACTAAGCCTATGTTGGGCCCAAACAATGAGGTTGAACTGTTAAATCATAAAGAAATAATTGGGGGCCTCGGAATCTTACGTTCAACTAAAGTAAATGCACGTTAAACTAAAGTTAATGCACGTTAAACTAAAGAAAATGCACGTTAAACTAAAGTTAATGCACGTTAAACTAAAGTAAAGCACGTTAAACTAAAGTTAATGCACGTTAAACTAAAGTTAATGCACGTTAAACTAAAGTAAATGCACGTTAAACTAAAGTAAATGCACGTTAAACTAAAGTTAATGCACGTTGAACTAAAGTTAATGAACGTTAAACTGAAGTCATTGCACGTTAAACTAAAGTAAATGCACGTTAAAATAAAGTTAATGCACGTTAAACTAAAGTAAATGCACGTTAAACTAAAGTTAATGCACGTTAAACTAAAGTTAATGCACGTTAAACTGAAGTTAATGCACGTTAAAGTAAAGTAAATGCACGTTAAACTAAAGTTAATGCACGTTAAAATAAAGTAAATGCACGTTAAACTAAAGTCAATGCACGTTAAACTAAAGTAAATGCACGTTAAACTAAAGTTAATGCACGTTAAACTAAAGGTAATGCACGTTAAACTAAAATTAATGCACGTTAAACTAAAGTAAATGCACGTTAAACTAAAGTTAATGCACGTCAAACTAAAGTAAATGCACGTTAAACTAAAGTTAATGCACGTTAAACTAAAGTTAATGCACGTAAGATTAAACTTCTTATCAGAACTAATCTTATTCAAGAACTATTTGATATGAACAAAAATATTTTTAATTCAAGCCTAAAACTTTCTTTTTCTTTAACTTGTGCATACCTTCAAAACTAGAGGTGCTACGAGAGCTCAAAGTTGTACAAGTAATGACGCATTTTGCCTAGTTTACGGTGATCTCAATCAATTCAGTTTTCTTCAAATCCTAAAGATATCCCCAATGGCGGCTAACGTAGTCGCCATATCTTTTAAATGTTCTTAAGTCTAGCTACCGAACCAATTCAGGAGATAAAGAAATGTTTATCTTAATACCATATGGAGGGGGTCATTAAAACAAACAAAATTTTATCATCTTAAAATATTTTCAATATTTTAAAAATCAAAAGGAAATTTTTTTCTCTGTTTGAAAGAATTGCTTGATGTTTTCTTATTTATTTATCTCAAAGAATTAAAAGGGTCAGGGGAGGGGGAAAAAGTGGAATTACTGAGATTTTGCAAACATTTTATTTTGCAATTTTTATTGCAATCTAATCTGTTTTCTTGCAGATCAACAAGATATAGGAGTGTGTTGGTGAGGAGGGGGGGAGGGGAAGGGGGCCCTCCCTCAACCAGATATAGGAGTGTGTTGGCGAGGGGGGGGAAGGGGCCCTCCCTCGACCAGATATAGGAGTGTGTTAGTGAGGGTTGAGGGGGTTAAACCCCAACTAATGGGCAGCAACAAAAGCAAGTTAACGCCCTGCCATAAATCATAGTTGCACCATCCTTTCTTTCCTTTTTTATAAATCATAGTTGCACCATCCTTTCTTTCCTTTTTTAAAAATCATAGTTGCACCATCCTTTCTTTCCTTTCTCATAAAGGCGCCAAATATTTGTAAAGGGAGTGAACGCCTAGTGAATAGTGACCCTCCGCAAAGATGTCCATGTCCGATTCACAACGGTACACTTACAAGCTTTTCTGATCAATTATAATTAGATATAGATGTTTATAATATTAAAAACTGATTATTTTCAATTGTGGTTTCTCTACAAAGGTGAATTGCGCATTTCCACTGCAGGAAAACAAATAGAAATTATCAGATCTTAATTCTAAAATCTAGAAAAATTACAAAACCTTCCTCTTATTGATACGATAAAGTTTAAATGGTACCGTTGTGAATCGGGCATTGTCATGTTTACATGGAGGATCACTTGAAATTACGCTTACAGTCCCTTTTCAGATTTTTTTAATCAGCCAGATCTTTTCAATGTTAAATATAATTATTTTTGGTTCAAACTTTAATGCTTGGCAGGGGAGGATATTTTGTTTACAAACTATTTCAATAAAATCAATGCCTACAAAAAAAAATTTCAAACCATATTTTGTAGTTTTAACGTAGAAAGCTAGTTTTAACCTAAACTAAAAACTAAAAACCACCAAGAATGTCAAGAATTTCAATGTCAATTTCGTCCCACAATCTAAGTCTGTGATTCCAACACTATCATTTGTAGGAGTAGGTTTCATAAAAGATCTATTTTGCCTAAAATTCAGACAGCTCTCAAAACCAATAGCACATTTTAAAGTTATAAAATTTACTTCCGTAAATTAAGTCTTTCAAGCAGTGATAAATGCTAAATCATGCTAAATCCGGATCAAAAATTATAACCCCTTTATTAAGTAAGTTTATCAAGTTTACTGTTTACTCAATGTTGTGATTCTAATTTATAATTGTAATCTCATAGCTGAGGTGAACTCAGG